TCAACATTTACACCAATCCGAAAAACATGAAATAGAGATTCCAGTCCAAAACTAAGTGTTTTCTACGAGAGCATATTTCGAAAACTCGTATTTTCCGCATTCTCGGTGTGACGTGTTACAGACACGAAAACTAGTGTGACACACACAACTTAGCGAGCTCTTTCGAATGGTATATTATTACCACTGTGTGTACTAGTGTGACGCATGCAAGTATTCTATTTTTGTTATTGAACTTTGGAAATCAGGAAAGGCGCATACTTGATCGTTTGATGAGTAGAGTTGACTGGAGTGAATTTGGAATAAAACCGTAAAGCAAGTTTCGCTGTTTTAAGAACTTTCTTATTTTTTAACATTTTTGAAATCTGATTTGACAGACCTCTCGGGTAGATGATGGTCTGTCAATCTATCCAAAAGGTTTTCGAAAATCTTACCTGGATCTGGATCACCACGAGAGACTTTCTGTCTACCAATCAGTTTTCTAAAATCGCCCTGAATGGGTGAATTCGGGTATGCATCCACTATTTAAAGATGGAGATACAACTTTACCGGCAAATTACAGATCTATTACGCTTCTTCCTTCTATGTCTAAAATTCTCGAAAGATTGGTTTATGATAAGCTATATGGATATCTGAAAAATATGATCCGCTAACATCCTTACAATCAGGTTTTATTCAAGGCGATTCTACGACAAATCAGTTGGTCGATTTGGTGCATGAGATTGAAGAAAATTTCGATTCTAATAAATTTACAACAATTGTAATTCTTGATTTTGCAAAGACGTTCGACAAAGTTTGGCATAAAGGACTTTTACACAGGCTAAAACAAAAAGGCGTGCGTCCTGACCTTTTAAAGTGGTTTCAGAGTTACCCAACTGCTCGAAAATGCACTACACGCTTGTAAATGGACAATCTTCTCTACCTCTTGTTATAAACCATGGTGTCCCTCAAGGCTTGATTTTAGGACCACTTTTGTTTTTAATATTCATCGAGGATATTTGTGATAACAAACGGTCGAAACTTCGTTTATTTGCGGACGATACATCAGTGTATCATACTTCGAACAATATTTTTATAAGTGAAAATATTTTAAATCAAGATTTGAAAGACATTTTAGAGTGGACTGAATTTTGGCAGTTACCCTTGAATTTAAAAAAGTGTGTGGCTATGTTCTTCGGCAAAGTTTCTGCACCTCCTCAGCTGTTAGTAAACATTTGGGTTTGCACTTAAAACCAAAGCTAGACTGATCTTTGCATATGTACGAGGTTACAAAAAAATGTAAATATACATTGTATCTAATGCGCTGCTTCAGATATACTCTAAGTACGGCTACACTCGACCAGATCTACAAATCGTATATTTTGCCAGTGTTAAGTTATGCAGATGTAATCTATGCATGTGCGAAAGAGATTCAAACTGCAAATACCCCTTTGCCCAATGTATTAGCTTATTTATTAGAACCAATCGGAAAACTACAGTACGATGCTGTACTGACTGTTAGTGGTGCTATGTGCCATCTACTACAAAATAAGGAAAGCGTGTTTTGAGCTCGCAGTTGCGTCGTTGTAGCAGACCCTATTTACTATTTACGATAAAATCTTCGAAGTTAAGTAATTTGTCATTACTGAGTTACAAAAGACCAAAGTTAACAAATTGTCAAGATGACATAATCCATGTTTTTCGGAATTTTTCATAAAATTTCACTATCTCAGCAACGATACAACTTTTTGATTTGCGCCTTTTACCAAAATTCATTAAAATGTTTGATCTAAAAGCGCCCCCTAGTTTGAAAGAACAAACAGCACGTCTGAACATCCAACAACATTACAATAAGCAACGATATGACGCAGGTCGCTCTGATCATAATTATTCATCTGGCAATTACGTTTTCTGTAAAAACACCAGTCCTAGATCAAAATTAGAAGAAATTTATTCTGGTCCGTATATCATTCTCCAATCTCACCATTCCTTGCGTCCCACGGCGATCCCTCAAAAAGGTTCAGTATGGGACCATTTATTCTTTTTTTTCGAAAAAATGGTTCTGTCCTACAAAAATGGTTCGAGCTGAAAAGGTTCGGTACAGAACTATTATGTTTCTCCGTATATTAGGTTCCATCTGACAAATAAGGTTTGGTATGAACTCTTTTTAACAAGGTTCTTGCTGCAAGTATAATATTATATTGTTCTCTTCTTTTCTTTTATGCTGTTTTCTTTTCTTACGCAACAAACAAAAACTCATAAACAATTAAAAATAAAAAATAATTAAAAAAGAGTGAAAATTATAATTATTGTCTTCGAACTCGGTTGACTTGTAGACGGGAACTTTTTTTGTTCGTTTTCTTGTAGTAGGTCCAATATTCTTTATATCCGTTAAGCATGCTGCTGTCAACATTTTTGTTTGCTGTAATTTGTTCACTTGATACAGTGGTTGAGGATAATGGAGGTTCAGACTGCCGCGATTGTTCTTGATTTTCCGTTGTTGATGATTTGAGTACCGTGTCGTCAGTTGCAAAATATTCAAACACATTAAATTGATTAAATTGAATAGAAAAACTGCACTACTTAAGTTATTTCTCACTAATAAGGTTAAAAAATCGCATTGTTTCTTTCGACAAAAACCATATTTTCAAGCTGAATTGGTGATAAGTTTCTACCGATCTGGCAGCGAACAGGCGTTGACGAATGCTTTAGATTTATAAAATAATATCTATTCTCTTAGGACTGTTTTTGAGAAAAACATTTCAGCTCTAATCCAAGTTTTATCGAGGACAATCATCTTCGTTCTATCGAGAGAATTTGATTGCGTATATACGGCTCTGTTAGTCATGGCATTTTTTAAAAATAAAACTTGAAGTTACCTTGCCCTTCTTCATGTTCATTTTCAGCATTATCTGATTCTTCGTTTTCTGACAATCGATTATTTTCCACTATATGTTTCAGTTGTTCAGCTCGCTTGACCGTTGCTTCTGAAAATCGTTTTTGGCGTTGAACAGTAGTTATTCCTGAACTTTGGATTAACTCATCATCGTCGACCTCAAAACTATTTCTATGATTATCAATTGTTGCTGCGGTTGGTGGTTTGATCTATGGGACCATCTGTGTGCAGACGCTGTCATTATTTTTTGTTGTGGTCGGTATTGCCCGTTGAATCGTCGACCGGTTTTTAATTTTGTAGTCCCACGATGCCAACATTGTACGCAAACCCTTTTCCAACTCATTTCCATCTTCAAACATAACACCGCACAGGATATGTGCACAACGATTATTACGTGTGAATCTTATTTCAAAAATGTTATATAACTACAAGAACAAAGCCAAGGCTGTTTCAGAGGATATTGTTTGTGTAATTAGGTGATAGTCAAGATACAGTTCAAATTTATCTTCTAACATTTTCATGCACGGTCTTGGCATTAATGGCTCCTAAATAGAACTGTAGGTAAAATCAGCAGAAGGTAGATATAAAAAGTATAGAAAATGTCAAGTTCAAAATACCAAGAAAAAAATCTTCAGCATGAAAATAGCAAGTTGCAAAACATTACCCTTAGATCAATGTACTTAATTTCATCAGAAGAAACGCTGTAGGAATTCCGAAATGTATATCAGTCTGAGGATCGAACGTACTTCATCAACCAATACTCGACTAAATGGTTTACCAAATTGTTTACACAACAGTTTTATTACACGAATCGGCAAAATATCTAAAGCATACGAGAAAAACAAGGAATTTTTACTGCGGCATTGAGATGAACTGGTGAGGGTTTGGTATAGCAGATGTGAACCCACAAAAAGAGCACTAATGGAATAGTTGTACGGAAAGCAGATGAGTCGTACGTACAAGTTTATCTGTGTTTCTTTCGGCAATTTCCAGTATACTTTTCTTGGCTGGTCGTCCGCTTCCTTTACCAAATTTTTCTTGCTGCTGTTTAACTTGCGGGTTTGATTGTTGTAATGGTCGTCGTTCTCTTTTAAATTTTTGTTTGAGTGATTCATGCCACTTTGTCAAACAAAATCAAGTAATGCCCGACGGTGATCTGTATGACCATTTAGTCCTGTTAAATCTTTTTCGTTGACAAGCAGCTGTAATTCAACTGGTAGTTTTGGCAATGCATAATCATTTGGCATGTATTACTCTTGCTTCATTTTCCTGCTCATATTTATTAAGTAGATTATTATCGTGCGGCATTGTTCTAGTAATTGGTTGTACGTTTGTAACTTCGTTGTCTATGGGAATCGAATCATCGTCGAAGATAGCACCAGCAGATGACAGTAAATTATCTCCATCATTTAATTGTGATTGTGACTGTCGTTCTAATGGATATAGTCTGAATTGTTCCAAATTTTCACAGCTGTCAATACTCTATCAGTTTGTCTCGCTCCTCACTAAATTTCATTCGATCTTTTAATTTTGGGAAAATTATCGAACGGTAATCGTGATAACATTTCTCCCTTAACTTCTCGTCTAAACAGCATAAAAACAAAATACTGAATTAATCACATAACATATCAAAAATTATACGAAAGGTTAAAAGAAGAAGTAGTTCAAATGTCGTCCTGCTACTGGAAGGACGAGTCTGATTGTTCTACTCACTCTAGACAGAAAATTTTGTCCCATGAGATTAGAATAAGAGAGTCTACGCAAAATGGAAAGACATCAATTAATTGTGTTTTTGGAATTTCAATTTTCAACGTCGCACAGTCTTGATTTCGGTTAAAAATCACAATCTCATATTTAATTTTCACACAGTATTTTTATCAGATTATCCTGTAACAGGATCGCGAGACTTACACATCATGATAAGTCAAATTGTTAGACTGGTTAAAATACTGATGTACGGAGTATCTTCAACGTAATAAACGTCGAGTCCATGGGGTAAAATATGCAGACATTAATCAAGATCCAATATACCGAGATTGTCGATTGCATAGCTCCAAAGTTTTTCATTGAAAAACGCCCTGTTTAAGTACTCGACAACTGATTTTCACGTATCTTTAACTTTTAATATTTATCGAATATAAATAAAACATGGAATTTCTTCTTCATGCACTAATTTAAATACGAAGGCTGATTCTTGTACGATTTTAACATGATCAAGGCTTATTGTTTTACATTCAATATAGGTTAATTCAGCAATACCATTTTCATTCAGTAAACGTTGAACTTGTAAAGATAATTCAGAATGTTGAATTGTTTTTTCCCAGGTTGTTTCGTCGGTAATATTATAAAAACTTTTATTTGATAATAAAAGGCATTGTCGAAGTTGATGTCTTTTGGCCAAAGTCAGTGGTGGATTTTTAAAACTGAATGACCGAATGGCTAATTGTTTGAAGTACAAATGTTTTCCCTCAAATCGATCGCAGTCGTAGCCTGTCGGCGGTCCATTCATCGCAATTAAACACGGATATTCCGTGACGAAATGCACTTTCGGAATAACATTATTTGGTAGCCTGTTCACCATTAACGACTGGAATCTTGTTGTCAATGTTGCTAAATAGGGTAACCAACTTCTTCTCATCTTGGTACAATATAATATACTAATGATTTTCCGTAAACAAACATAAATATCCAATGTGTCTCCTGGTCGATCAAGGATGTCATGTAGAATTATTGGTATCAATTTAAATATACACATTTTTTGACTAGCGGAACCAACAATATGCCCATTAGCGAGATGCTTAATACGGATGATCGGGGGTTTATTCTTTGCGTCGTTCACACCATACTGGAATGACTGTATTCGTTCTTCTATTTTAGCATATGTTAAAATGTGTCTACTTGATGCCTCCTTCAATATAGCGAGTAAAACTAAAGGATACACGCCTAAACACAATCAAATTAAACACGTAATAAAGTATTTCTCCCATTTAAAACAAAATATAAAAGTGAAGGACAATCGCGCTTCTGGGACATAAATGAAGTGGAAAATGCAAGTGAAGATGTCGTTTTTTCATACCTTCCGCAAAGTCATGCATCAGATCAAACGGTAGACTGTTTACCGGATGAAATCCAACTAATTTAGCCAGAAAACTTTCTCCTGTAACACCAGATATTATTGGTTTATCTTTTGATTGCATAAGTTGTTCTAGTTTCTGCTGATGGGTTGCTCTTGTTCGTGGCATGAAAGAAATGTCGGTTAGAGGAATGGATTTGTGCCTGAACGAAATGTAACACAGACGACAGAAATATCCTGACCTGAAGTTACATCGAAAGCCACCCCCTTCGTTCGATGCTAAATGGTCAGCTGCTAATACTGTGAACGAAAAGTATACTCGACCATCAAATGTACCAACATTTATCCCCGATGTTTGAAGTGTATTCAGATCTGTAACAATTGGTTCAAAATAACTGCGACAGTTAGATTCTATGGATAAAAGTTTTGTTAAACATATGCCGACGAGACCGAAGCATTGATCTTACGACGTTCGGAAGATCTTCTAAAACGAAATAATATAGCGTTAGTTTTTTCTTGTCCTTTTTAGGACCAATAGGATTCGTTATTCCTATTCCGTCAGTGTAAAGTTGCAGAAGGAACGAATTCGGGTGTTGTGTTACCACCGGGTTGCTGCTCGCCGCAGAGCCATCACGATAAGTTAACATAAGATTCTTCATCTTTCTTACTTTGTGAAATAGTCTCATTACAACTTTTAATTAGCAAATTAATGACATCGGCTTTGCTTATGAGGTGACTACTACTTTCGCTGATCGACACATAATATCCGCAATCACCCTGATCGTTTAGTCGAATTTCTTGTGGTGGTTGATACTGAAAATATTTCTCACAATTTCTAAGAAACTGGTATTCAGTTTTAGTTGTTTCTGATATTATTTTTGTAATGTCATTTATCAGTTTACGAAGATCATTAAGCAGTATAGACGAATTCAGAGTTGTTGAATTCATTGTTTGATTTTCGACAGTTTTAAAAATAACATCGAGCAAAAGTGACAAATCGATGGTGATGAATTGAATAATCTTTTGAGGGAGCATATGGCCTTCTCGCAGTTCAAGAAGAAAATGAGTATAATGTTTTTGGAATGAACTAATCGAAAATGTATCATTCTCATGTATATTACGCTTTCCAGTGAATTGAGGCCAGTCGGTTGTGTGTAGATTCGTATGTAGCTGTTGCGCTAATTCGTTTACGTCGAGATCATTATCTTCAAGGACAATATCCATATTCAATGGTAAATAACTGTCCGTTTGTTGTTCATCGTATAACTCATTCGAAACATTATCATCAAAAGTAACTTTTCCACGCTGACGATGATTTCGAAAGACGTGGCTCTTATAACTGTCAAAAGTTGTATATATTACACCGCATGACGGACTAAACTCACAGCGGATACTGAACGACGACTGCCGACTATGAGCTAAATTTATGTGCTCGTAAAGTAGTTTGAAAGTATAATAAGGCTTGGAATTTATGCACAATGCGCAAAAATGATAATTTACACTCATACTATTTACTAGTCTAAAATAAGGAGGAATTGTGTCAGAAAAGAGAATAATTTTGAGGAATCACTATGTTTGTGTTAAATAATCAAAAACTTACACTATTTCCTCGTAAATATACTTTTCTCGAACACATATACTACAAACGAAACGTCTCAAACGCACAACATCAGAAAAGGCCTAAAAATATTGCGCCGCTGTGATAATTTTCTGAAGTACTCTTGCAGGGCTTGCTGCGCCAAACTTCTCGGCGTACAATGGCACGCCCTGCAAGTTAGGCCCCTTCTTTAACGATTGTGAAGGCCAGAGCCAGTAGAAACCGTCCTAAAATATCAAGCAACTTCGTCTGTAAGATCTCTAACAACTTATCAATTACCGACATATTTTTCATAAAAAAGGGATAGGAGAATATTCGCTGAAACAAATCAAAAAAAAGGACAAGCATGATCCCCCACCCCGAAAATGTTTAATTGTTGCTTGATCATTAACAAATGTTGATAGCCATTTGAACATGCCCAGGTGATTCAAAACGGTCAAGTTAACGGCGTGTTAACGTTCCATTAAATCTGCGTTAACGAGCCGTAAACGTACCGTTTTTACACCGTTTACGGGCCGTTTTTAAAGATACAAACTGTTTCGAACTGCGACCTAATGACGTTTTTCGCTCAAGCGTACACCCGAAGAAAGGCATGCCTTATCGATCTCTAGCTTTGTAGAAGACTTTTAGCTCATTCCGCCTCATCCACAGGGTCCTAGAATGGTTCTAGCACCGAACTGGTCCGAGCGATAATATCCACGGATATACACTCTCTGAAAGTTCAAACGTGGGATGCTTCACATACG